AAAAAAAAAAAAAAAAAAGAAAAAGAAAACAGTATCTACATAAGCAAATACATATACAACAAATCCTGGTTTTCTGTTATTGTGGAGATATAAGAAGTAGTTAGAGGTGACGACTAAGATGAAGAAACATGAGCAGTAGGCCAAGAGATGCTTTTCAGGTAGGTTGGTAAAAATATCCACAGGCCCAGAGACTTTTGGAAACTGTAAGGCTGGAGTAGATCACTAAGTTCTCTTTCTAGTTTTCAGATTCTACGACTTCATGAAAAAACCATATATAACGAAAACAGTCATTTCAGGTTAGTGTTCCTTCTGGAACTTAAAACAAATATGGAATGGCACCATAATTCATTCCACCCCCATCCCCAATCAAGGTGAAGTTGAAAATGTGATATGGAATTGGGAGACAAATGTAAACAATGCAAATCAATTAATAATACTTACTGTGTCTGAATTCCCTTCCAGCAATATATTGATAGCTTTGTTCACATCTCCATTACAATCATGTAGGGCCACTATGCATTCATCCTGATTTTTCCCCGTCACTTCCATAAGCTAGTGAACATATCAGAAAATGATTAGAGGCAATCAAAAACCGGCACCTGATATTATATTAAGATTCTTCTATACAAATACAAAATTATGTAATCCTTCTACATGAAGACGGCCTCTCCTAGAGTCTGAGTTTACAATGAGGACAGGTTTACTTATTTTTGGGCCATTCCATGCTTGTCCTTTCACTAACACTGGTAGAATCTAACTACAAATCAATCTTTCTCCAAGTTGACCAAGGAGCAGATCATTAATCAGCAGCACATACATACATACCATCATTCTCAGAATACCTAAGGTCAGGTATCTGAATAACCAAGTTTAATTCAAAGAGACAAGATTCCGAAATTTAAATGTGAGGTGCAACTATATGAGTACATGACCACCATTCATGGGAAATTCAATATAATGTTTTGTCAGGGACAATATTGTATACATTGGCTTTCCCCATTTGGATTAGAACACTCCACAGGCCAGGCACGGTGGCTCATGCCTATGATCAACACTTTGGGAGGCAGAGACGAGAGGATCGCTTTAGCCCAGGAGTTTGAGACAAGCCTAAGCAAAACACTGAGACTTCAATTTTACAAAAAATTAACTGACTGTGCTGGTAGGAGAATCGCTTCAGCCCTGGAGGTGAAGGCTACAATAATCCATGATTGTGCCACTGCACTCTAGCACAGGAGACAGAGCGAAACCCTGTCTTTTTTTTAAAAAAAAAAAACCGGGCGCGGTGGCTCAAGCCTGTAATCCCAGCACTTTGGGAGGCCGAGGCGGGTGGATCACGAGGTCAAGAGATCGAGACCATCCTGGTCAACACGGTGAAACCCCGTCTCTACTAAAAATACAAAAAATTAGCTGGGCATGGTGGTGCGTGCCTGTAATCCCAGCTACTCAGGAGGCTGAGGCAGGAGAATTGCCTGAACCCAGGAGGCGGAGGTTGCGGTGAGCCGAGATTGCGCCATTGCACTCCAGCCTGGGTAACAAGAGCGAAACTCCGTCTCAAAAAAAAAAAAAAAAAAAACCATTCCATATACATTCTAAGTTATAACACCGTAAGACTTACAAGTGGAATTCTGCTACTATCACAAAACAAACTCCTAGACATTTTATTTTCTCAAGGATCTTCAACATGGTGCTATGCTTGAAGTAATAATAAAAACTTCAGTCTATTCTCCTTAACAAGGGATACTTGTTACTTAGCATTTTCATCAGAATAATCACGGACTAGGCAAAATGCAGGTTTCTCAAGTATAAGTGAATAAACCTATGATTTAAATATCTATTACATTTTAAATACATTTAACTATTTTAATATGTACTAGTTGAAGTTCAAAACAGCTTGACCCCAGCATATGAAGTGATTTGTCTATGGTCACAAAGGTAATTAATAGCAAACCCTGTCTAGAACCCAGGTCTCCTGATCTCATAATCACAGATCTGCACTATACCATTTGGCCTCCTTGCTTTCATCTTTTCATTTTATCAAGCAGCAAAAGTTCTGCATACTCTATAGCTTTCTGATGCTTCAGTCTTTGGATAGCTACTAATAAAGGTCTCGTTTTTATCAATGATCTGTACTAACCAAATGCCTGCAACATGAAATTTTTAAGAAACACGGTCAGCATGAAAATTTCCCCAGTGATCAGATTACTAACAGACAGAACTAAAGTTAGAACTTAAATCTCTGAACTCCTGGGCCAATGTTCTATCTATACTATTCAGATAAAAGGCAATACAATATATAGAAGTATATCTCAAACTGTACAAAGATCTCATTCCAGAGAAGGAAATGAATGATTTCTTGTGAGACAAGGCAAGATTTCATTGTGAGACCAATTATTAGATGACATCTACCAAGAGCTGGAATATCTGGCACTGAGGTAAGGGTTACAGCTTGATTTCTACAATCCTGATAAGAAAGGAAGTCAGCAAAGAGTTGGAACTTAAGATTATCAAAAATACCTCTTATTAAAGTCTGAAATGAAGATATTGTCCTAAAATTTAATTTTATATTTTTCCAACAAGAGTATGAAATCACAAGCATGTTTGAAATGGCAATTCAGGCCAGATACAATAACCTGTAATCCCAGCACTTTGGGAGGCCAAGGCAGATTGCTTCAGGCCAGGAGTTCAAGACCAGCCTAGGCAACACTGTAGGACTCTGTCTCTACAAATATTTTAAAAATTAGGTGGGCATGGTGATGCACATCTGCAGTCACAGCTACTCAGGAGACTGAGGCAGCAGGATAGCATGAGCCTAGGAGTCTGAGGCTGCAGTGAGCTACGATTTCACCACTGCACTCCAGCCTGGGCAACAGAGCAAGACCAAGTCTCTATGAAAAAAAAAAAAATTAAGGCAATTCAATTCATCCCCAAAATTAAACAAAATTCCCAGAGAACGTGCCAAATTCTAGATATACTTTCTATGCACAGGTATAGGAAAATCTCAGTGTGTTTACAGAAATGTCTGACTCAATGCTCACATGTGAACACTAATAACTAAGAAAGACTGTATTATCAGGTAGATGAACATATTCAATTCCTTCACTTGCCCACCAATAAAGGTACTTAATCACAAGTCCAAAATCTAATACATAGATTTCAGGTGAGACTAGAAGCTAGAAGTAATACTTTAAAACAAAAATATTTACTGAAGTTATTATTATTATTATTATTTTTTTTTTTTTTTTAGACAGAGTTTCGCTCTTGTTACCCAGGCTGGAGTGCAATGGCGCAATCTCGGCTCACAGCAACCTCCGCCTCCTGGGTTCAGGCAATTCTCCTGCCTCAGCCTCCTCAGTAGCTGGGATTACAGGCACGCGCCACCATGCCCAGATAATTTTTTGTAGTTTTAGTAGAGACGGGGTTTCACCATGTTGACCAGGATGGTCTCGATCTCTTGACCTCGTGATCCACCCGCCTCGGCCTCCCAAAGTGCTGGAATTATAGGCGTGAGCCACCGCGCCCGGCCTTATTATTATTTTTTTTTTTTTTGGAGACAGTCTTGCTCTGAAGCCGACTGGAGTGCAATGGCACAATCTTGGCTCACTGCAACCTCCACCTCCTGGGATCAAACAATTCTCTGCCTTAGCCTCCGGAGTAGGTGTGACTACAGGCGCCCGCCACCATGCCTGGCTACTTTTTATATTTTTAGTAGAGATGGGGTTTCACCATGTTGGCCAGGCTGGTCTCAAACACCTGACCTCCAGTGATCTGCCCACCCTGCCCTCCCAAAGTGCTGGGATTACAGGCCTGAGCCACTATGCCTGGCCTGAAATTATCTTTTTAGGCACAATCAAAATAGATTATAAAAATGATGATATCCTTTGCCAGAAACATACCTGCTTAACTTTAGCTTCAAAATCCGAATCATTCTTATCAAAGATCACTTGAGCGAGACGCATCTGTTCAGCTGTTGCCTGGAAAGCACATACAATTGTTAAGGATGTGAGCACCAAAACCATAAGTTAGATTCCAAAATCTGGGTCAAATAGATAAGGCTCTCAAGCACTAGAACTACTAAGCAACAACAAATAAAAGACCCTCAATTTAGGCCTCTCAACCATATATATAACCTGTTCCCATAGGAAAAATAAGCAACAAATTAAGTACTATAAAGCACCCATACCTTTGACCAAATGACCTGAAGTTACTGTTCATCTTAACTAGGCGTGACTTATTTCAATCGTCTTTCCCTTGATAGGGTGGGGGAAATCAACACAAGAGAAGGCAGAAGAACAAAAAATAATGAAATCTTTGCCGGGCATGGTGTTTCATGCCTGTAATCCTAACATTTTGGGAAGCCAAGGAAGGAGAACTGCTTAAGCCCAGGAGTTCCAAACTAGCCTGGGCAACATAGCAAGACCCTGTCTCTATTTAATTTAAAGAAGATTAAAAAAAAAAAAAAAAAAAAAAAAAAAAGGTTTAGAAGGTAATGAAATCTTTAGAGGTAGTTGGCATGCAAAAAATAATAAAATAAAAAATAAAAAGTAATGCAAACAACTGCCCAGACACAGGCTTAGAACCAGACTTTGTGTCAACAAAAGTCTGCTGTCAGGTCTAAAAAAAGTAGGCTGGTCAGTTCTGAAGAGAAAAAGCTGCAATTAGCTAAATTAAAAATATTTTTAGGGCCGGGCATGGTGGCTCACACCTGTAACCCCAGCACTTTGGGAGGCCAAGGCAGGCAGATCACGGAGGTCAGGAGTTCGAGACCATCCTGGCCAACATGGCGATATCCTGTCTACTAAAAATACAAAAATTAGCTGGGCATGGTGGCATGCACCTTTAGTCCCAGCTACTCAGGAGGCTGAGGCAGGAGAATTGCTTGAACCCAGAAGGCGGGGGTTGCAGTGAGCCGAGATCGTGCCACTGCACTCCAGCCTGGTGCCTGGCGACAGAGCAAGACTCTGTCTCAAAAAAATAAAAATATGTGTGTGTGTGTGTGTGTGTGTGTGTGTGTGTGTGTGTGTGTATATATATATATATATATACACATTTTTTTTTTAAAGTCATTTCATCTTTTTCTATACACAATAAATTTTTTCCCTAAGAGAAAGGGTCTCACTATGTTGCCCAGGTTGGTCTTAAACTCCTGGGCTTAAGTGGTCCTCCCACCCCAGCCTCCCAAAGTGTTGGAATTACAGGAGTGAGCCACTACATCCGGGAAAAGTTAATCCCTTCATGAAATCTTTGTTTTTTTGTTCTTAGATGGAGTCTCTTGCTGTTACCCAGGCTGGAGTGCAATGGCTTGATCTCGGCTCACCGCAACCTCCGCCTCCGCCTCCCGAGTAGCTCAGATTACAGGCATGAGCCACCATGCCCAGCTAGTTTTTGTATTTTTAGTAGAGACAGGGTTTTGCTATGTTGGCCAGGCTGGTCTGAAACTCCTGACCTCAGGTGATCCACTTGCCTTGGCCTCCCAAAGTGCTGGGATTACAGGCGTGAGCAACCATGCCCAGCCTAAATTACAACTTAAGTTTTTACTTAGGTATTTATTAAATTTTTAAAGATAGGGTGATAGGGTCTTGTTCTGTCCCCTCAGGCTGCAATGCAGTGGTGCTATCATAGCTCACTGCAGCCTCCAATACCTGGGATCAAGGGATCCTGCTGCCTCAGCCTCCCTTGTAGCTTGAACTACAGGTGTGCACCGCCACATCTGGCTATGTGCAGAAAACTTACTTCCAGTTACTTTTGTCACTCAAAACATTTTTTTAATCAAATTACTTAATAAAGTTTTGTTTTCTGATGTTTTTAGCAACAAAAAATAAGAAAAGTTCTAAAGAAAATTAATCTTTTGTGGAGTGACTTTGTAATGTGCCAATCTGGTTTCTTAAATTTAACAAAGGTATCGTAATTATTACAACAGGGAAATTAGGTGAGGAATATACAGGAACAATCAGTTTTACCTCTGTCTACTAAATCTAAAATTACTCAAAATAGTTTAAGTTGCCTTGTTAACCAAGTCTACACTAACTCCCAACGCAAATATTTTAAAAGCTGAACAGTTTACGAAAAGACCTTAGAGGAAAAAAAGCCATAAAGAACTAATAAACAGCTTTTTTTTTTTCAATTTTCTACATACATTCACTTCAAATAATCTTGACTAAAGTGGGATAATGGAGAGTTGTTGACATTTTTTGCATTTTAGAGCACTTTTCAAAAGGCTTTTCCAGTCCATGTGGGTGGGTGATTACACAAACTCCAGGTCCTTTGGCCTGTTCATCCCAACCTACGCCTGCTGAGACCTCAGTTTAACTCTGCAATACTGCTACATTATACCCAGAAAGACATTGGTATAGAAATTCAGTGTCTGTGCTTACTGAATATCTTACCTCAAAGGCTCCCTGTACATGTAAGAACCTTACATATACTCTCACTACCCCTAAATCACACAATCATTTTTTTGAGCCATAACCAACCAAGAAGTCCCATTGCCACAGCCAAGAGCACCAATGTCATGAAAACTAGATGAAGTAAAAGGGAAAAGCAAAGGGAAAGATGAGTTTTCAAAAGATGGCATTTCTACATTATACATTTGGGTTTAAAGTAATGGCAACTTATTATGAACTATTAAAGTCAAAAATATAGAAACAAATCTCTAAGTAAAGAAGCTTTTATTTCAGAAGAATATGTAACAAGTAGGACTGCGGCCGATGTGGTGGCTCACAACTGTAATCCCAACATTTTAGGAGGCCAAAGCATGTGGATCACCTGAGCTAAGGAGTTCAAGACCAGCCTGGCCAACTGGTGAAACCCCATCTCTACAAAAAAAAAAAAAATTAGCCAGGTGTGGTGGCACACATCTGTAATCTCAGCTACTCCAAAGGCTGACGCAAGAGAATCGATTGAACCCAGGAGGCGGAGGTTGCAGAGAGCCAAGATCGCACCACTCTACTCCAGCCTGGGCAACAGAGCAAAACTCCATCTCAAAAAAAAAAAAAAAAGTAGGATTGCAGGCCAGAACATACATACTGTATATACAAGAGTAGCCTTCAGTGTGCCGAAACAACAAAGTTGGGAGTTTTATTAGAGAAAGAAATATGACATACTGTTTTGAAAGAAAACTCATTGGAACACCAGGTGCGGTGGCTGATGCCTGTAATCCCAGCACTTTGGGAGGACGAGGCAGGCAGATCACCTGAGGTCAGGAGTTCGAGACCAGCCTGACCAACAGGGAGAAACTCATCTCTACTAAAAATACAAAATTAGCTGGGCTTGGTGGCACATGCCTGTAATCCCAGCTACTCAGAAGGCTGAGGCAGGAAAATCACTTGAACCCCGGAGGCAGAGGTTGGGGTGAGCCGAAATCACCCCCGCCATTGCACTCTAGCCTGGGCAACAAGAGAGAGAAAGAAAGAAGAAAGGAAAGAAGGAAGGGGAGGGAGGAGAGGGAGGAAGGAGAGGGAGGAAGGGGAGGGAGAAAGGGGAAGAAGGAAGGGGAGGATGGAAGGGGAGGAAAGAAAGGGAGGAAGGAGAGGAAGGGGAGGAAGGAGAGGAAGGGGAGGATGGAAGGGGAGGGAGGAAAGAAGGGGAGGAAGGAGTGGAAGGGGGAGGGGCAGGGGAGGGAGGGAAGAGGACAGGGAGGGAAAACTCATTGGAACCATTCAACTTTTAGGGAGCTGGTAAGCTCTGATTGGTAAGTGAAGACAGCTGGTAAAACTAGACTTAGAGTCACAAGAGTTCATATCAACAGCTAGTAGGTAAAACTGGATTTAAGGTTACAGCAGGTCATTGTGGCAGCTGCCTTGCAATATAATCCCTGGGCAGGTGCTTTGTGCCCCAAGCACTTTTTTACCACCTTGGTCCACTGACTCTAAATTTAGGCGGGTATGACAAGATACCTCCAATTCATGTAATCAATTTTCACAAAATGAAAGTGGTCTGTTGGTATCCCTGTTGCTAGAAGTCTGTATGAGGAATTTGCCCATTTTTCCTAATACTATGAGTTTCCAACCTAAACAACGTACCATGCTCATTATCCAGCAGATTCAGGCACCCTTGTTCCATATCAAGCGCCACTGATGCTCATCCCTTCCCATCATTAAAGTTTCTTAAATTACAAGTTTTACATGTCAAACACAAGAAAAATTGAGAAACCCATAAGGTGACCATCTAACACTAAACTATTTATGTATTTGGTATTTATATTTTTTTCTTTTTTTTTTTTTGAGACAGGGTTTCGCTGTGTGGCCTAGGTTAGAATGCGGTGGCACAATCACAGCTTCACCACAGCCTTGACTTCTCAGGCTCAAGCAATTGTCTGACCTCAGCTTCCTGAGTAGCAACCATGGCAGCCACCATGCTTGGTAAATTTTTTTTTTCTTTTTGTTTTGGTAGAGACAAGATCCCACTGTGTTGCCCAGGCTCATCTTGAACTCCTGAATGCAAGCAATCCTCCCAGTTCTGCCTCCCAAAGAGCTGGAATTACAGGCATGAGCCACCATGCCTGGCTACTTTCCTCTTTTATCAAAAACAGAATATTTAACATACTACTGTGTAAAATCACTCACTCACACAATTTACTATGGATGTCTATATCAGGTTTAATGCTACATAACAATCCACTGCATAGGTGCTACTTTTTTTTTTTTTAGGACAAGGTTTCAGTGTGCTAGCCTAGCTGGAGCGCCGTGGCACAATCGGGTGATCCACCCGACTTAGCCTCCCTAAATGTCATGATTACAGCTGTAAGACACCACATCTGACCCTTATAATAATATTTTGTAATACAAATTATTCCCCTCTGCAATATGATAAATTATAACCCATAAATTATAAAAACAAAAAACAAAAAAAAAAACCCAATAAATATGCTCTTCAAAAATGTCATGGTCATGAAAAACAAGAAAAAACTAAAAAACTATCACAGACCAGAAGAGACAGACGACTGACTACTAACTGGATTGGATCCTGAAACAGG